AACTACCATGAACAATCTTAGAAAACGAGCAACAACCGCGCATGTTGCTGTCAACAACATACGGATTGAATTCATCCTACACGAAGAAAATTCAAGTGGTCTTATGACGGAAGACAACGTCGAACTGGATTTTCTACCTGCTGTTAAATTAAATCTCACGGAGCTGCAGGGATTTGCTTCGACATGGAATCGTGGCAAAAATTTCAAGAAAACATGGAAACGATGTCGAGCTACTTAAATGGTGATAAAATTAATTTGAGCTCGATCATCTTTAACAAGATAATTAAAAATTTCACTACCGCATATGGTGCTAGAGCCATACTAATAACATATCGTGAAAACGAACAAGAAGATCTTTCTTCTTCGAAACTGCGGAGGATACGAACGAAAACGGACCGAAGCGAAGAAACGTAAAACTTACAACATTGCGATAGTCATGCAGAGAACGACTTTTCAAGGTGTAGAAAATATAGTAATTGTGTGAACGCTAATTTTAAATCGTCTAAATTTTATTTCAACTAATGTCAACGAATGTGCTCGATATTTAATTAACGAAATACCGTTAAATCTTCCTGTCAACGGTAGCATTAATAGCAGTATCGTGAAACTCACGATCAGAGGTAACAGTAAGGAAATAGAACGTAATGTACGCACCCAACTGAAAGATTTAACATTTCTCGATGTATACTTCGAGATAACATTTTTAGAAATAATTTCACTTTATTTCGAACAAATTGTATATGCAATTATATCAAAACGTAAATTTTAATAATTATTCGACGAATATTTGTGAAATGATTGTGAATAATTTTGTTCTGTAAAATATTTTAAATATAAATCATATTTGTACTTTAAAACCATTGTTCAATTTTCTTTCACTTACTCTTTCCAGAAATTTCCTCAACATGCATGTTCTGTTTACCTTCATTAAGCAGCGAGTTATTTTAAAATAAAATTTATCTGACATCTTTCTAATCCTACGACGATGTATTATTATTTTTTATCGTGACGCGAGTCGGAATGCTCGCCTGTACAAATATTTGCGTGTTCTTTTTTATTACCCTACGCCATTGTAAGCTACTACCTGCCACCGGTCCGCACGACGACGCTTTTCTGGGCCAAAATGTTTTTACCCCCCCCGTAAGATCCGATAGACCATTTGATTCGACGAGCTATCCTTGCCATACGTATACCCGAACTGTTTTTACCCCACCCCCGTCCAATATCGACCATTTGATTCGACGAGCTATCCTTGCCATACGTATACCCGACCCCATGCCGTACTCTACGCACTTTAGCTTAAATACCACATCTAATCCTTAGACTAGTAAGATTCGTTAGCTCAACATACTAGGACCCTGCTCGGAAAAACACGGAGGTCCCGGTTCAAATCCAGAGAACTATCAGAAAAATAAATAACCCCTTCATCATCCCCCCTTCGTCAGAGTCGAAAATTCTAGAAATTCGCCTTTCAGGTTTTTCCCCCAAAACCCAACTTTTAACTAAACCCAACTCGGAAAAAAGCCAGAGGCCGGTGGTGGGGGGAAGATAAGATAAGACCCGGCGCCAGACGGGTCGGTGGTGGGGGTTTGTTTTGACGGGCCATACCTGCCATTATACTACTATTACAGTAGATTTCTGCAGCTCAAAAACGATGAATGAATTTGCATAAAATTATGTTCGCACACTTTGCGTTCATAAACATTTTATTTTTTTATTTTTTTTTTCTCGGAATTTGTAGCAATTTATATTACGTTTAAATATATCTTACATCTTGGAATATTAAATTAAATGGACTATTATTTGATTTGATGTATATTGTTAATCTTTGTTATCATCGTTCAACATCGATAAATTGTATAGATGATGATTATCACGAATATGCGATACACCAAAGTCTTCGCAACTTCTTATTTTTATAAGAAAAATAAATATTTTTTCTAATTTGAAATTTATTATTTAAATATTTATTGAATTAGAAATATAGACGCAACTAATGTAATTTGTAATACGAAATTTGTAAAAAAATAATAAGTTATTTTTTTTTCACAACACTAAAAATGCCTTCATTTCATAATTATTTCACAAAAATATTTATAGTCATTAAGCAATAATTAATTTTATCGACGAATTTTCGGATTAAATAATTGAAAAAAAATTTCCTAAATACTTGCAAAGAAAAACTTTTTTCTTTTTAATGATGAATATCAATAACGTTCGCGAAGCACGCGCTTGTGTTGCCTAGATATATAACAAAAATCAGAAATTAAAATTATACATAATTATACATAACTAAAATTTGGTAAATTAAAATTGTGTGCATAATAGACATTCAGGAATTAAAATTAAAATATAAAATATATAATAAAATATAAAATTAAAATATAACTGTTTAATTTAATACTGTAGCATCACACATTTATACCTACATTATTTTTTAATAAAAATTATTGAATTGTATTCTCGTATTATAGTATTCTATTATCAATTTATTATACTAACAATAAATTGTCATAATTAAACTTGATAATAAAACTGAGTTTGATTTATAAATCGACATAATTACTTTCATATGTAACTTCCTACTGTATTAACAAATTTGCTTATAAATACTACATTTATATAGCATATATATCATTTTGTTTAATGTAACCGAATATAATTACGCACGCAAAGCAAAGTTATATTATTCTTTGATATGTAATAAAATCTCAAAAATTGCGACGCATGCATGCAAAAATTATTATTGCATAAAAATATATTAATTAATTATGCAACGCATAAAATTCAATATTTAAATTTTTAACAGAAAGTACGAACGAAGAAATAAAATTTTCTACAAGAATCTTTTGTGATCAAATATCTACGCTTTTATTAGACTCGCGCGAGACTTCATTCCCCACATATCTGTCATGCTGCGCGGTTCGCGCGAGACTGATTCTCATGCTAGATATCGCAAGCGCGTAACCGATGGTCACATGACCAGTGACGCGGGACCGATGGTCACATGATCAATGGTCATGTGACCATAGGTCCCGCGTTTACGAATTTAGGGATGGGCGATACAGTCCGAAGTATCGATATATTATATCGATACGTATTGTTAACCATATTATCGATACATCTTAAATATCGACTAAATTGATACCGATATTACCAATATCGATACAAAATATCGTGTTTTGTAAAATCCGCGGTATTTTACCTGATAAATACCATATTTTCTTTTTTTAAAACTTATCTAAATAGAATTAAGAATCATTCTAGTGGTTTCTACATCCAAAAAACTTGCTTAATAAATATATACTCGGTGTATAAGTTTGAAAAAGAGAAAAAGGGGTAAAATAAAAAGATATAAGCTATAAACTTTTTTTATTGAATAAATGTATTAATGAATATATATTTTATTACATAATAATAAATATATAACATTTTATAGAATAGATATGTTAATGTTATATGAATATATTACTTAGGAGAGAATATATTAGAGATATTTCACTTTATAAGAACATTTTATAAATGCCAATCTTCAATTGACAACGAATTTAAGAATAACAATTGTTGCAAATGTTGCTCCGTTAACCGATTTCGTAAATCATTAATAATATTTCCCGCTCGAGAGAACAAACGTTCGGACGGAACAGACGTTGCTATAACTGTTAAATAACGCTTAGCCAGTTTCGCTAATAAAGAATATGTCGAATAATTTTGCCAATATTTTAACGGACATTCAGCGATATCAATGGGTATCTGATTAAGATAATATTTAAACTCATCAGGCATTTCATTGTTTGTATTAGAAGAAACATATCGTTTCGTTTCTTTATTAATGTTTCATGATAAGCCCAAAAAGAATTGTTTTGATATACAGAATCAGAATGAAAATTATTTTCCTTCTCTTTGTGTGCATTATTTTTAGTAGCAATATTTAACATATCTGTTATTTTATTTATTGCATGACAGCATGCAATTCTATCTACAAAATGAATTTTTTTGAATCTAGGGTCTAGAATAGTAGCAATCGCAATGAGAGATTTATGTTCAATATTTTTAAATCGTGCTTTAAATTCTTGTATCAAAACTTTTTTTATATAACACCTACTTCACTAATAGGTTTGCATGATTCTAACTGATTTGCTAATGTGTGTATTATCGGTATAACTTGACTGCCAGTAACATACATTTCACCATAAAATATAGTTGTTGCTGTTTTAAATGGTTCCAACAATTGCATAAATTCTTTTATAGTTTGCAATTCTAATGCCGATAACATTGGTGGAGCTGTAGGATGTTGTAAAAGAATCAATCCAATTTTGTCGGATAATTGGATGAATCGATGAAGCATATCAAACGTGGAATTCCACCGCGTGTCAACGCTTTGAATTAATGTTAGATTGGAATGTTCTCGCAATAAATCTGAAAGAACTACACTTTTTTTAAAGAAAGTTACAATAGATTTGACTTTTTTACATAATGAACTTACAATTTCATCTTCTTCTATAATTTTAGCAAGAACCAAATTCAATGTATGCGCATAACAAGCTAAATATTTTTCTTCACCAAAACCTTCTATTATAGCTTTTTTTATGTTGGACGCATTATCAGAAACAACAACAACTATACGTTGCAATGAAATACTCCATTTCTCAACTATATCGAGCAACCACTCTTTTATATTATCAGATGTGTGCCTATCATTTAATTTAGTGACTCCTATCATAACAGTTTTTTTATTATTATTTATGTGATAGTGTGCGGTTACTCCGAGGTAACTTTTTGTATTTACATCAGTCCAAATGTCTGTCGTAAGCGCTATGTCCTCTACATTAGATAATTGCTCTTTTATCAAATTTGATAAATAAACATATTTTTCTTCAATTAGAGACGTTATCACTTTTCTACTTGGAATGGTGTATAAGGGACTCACACATTTTATAAAAATCTGAAAGCCTTCTTTCTCCACTGTAGACAAAGGCATATTGTCCTTTGCTATCATAAATACGAGTTTATTTGTGATTTCCGATGCTTTAGATCCTCCATCTAAAAAAAATGAAAATTAAATTACCACATTTCCTTATCTGAAAAATACTTTCTTTATATTCTAATAAAATGTATTTTGTATACATATATTAAATATTTATTAAATGTCTTAAATATCTGTATTAAATATCTATTAAATATCTATACGTTAAAAGATTATTTATTTAATTTAAATTTCAAATATTTGAATAGTATTTAAAATTAATAGATACAAAATTTGGTATGTTAAAAAAACAAATTCTAGCAGAATCAATAACAAATATAATTGATTTAAAATGCAAAACACAATATAATTTTATAAGTGATATTTTTTTTCTCTATTTCTTTTTCTACTAGATATAAAATGCTAAAGTTTATATACCTTGGAATGACTTTTGTTTGAAAAGGCGTCTATAAGTTTCGGTTGTTTTCTCTTGTATTTTAGTGTATTTCTAAATGTAGATGATGAACTTGTTGACGGAGACAACGTTAATTCTTCATCGTTGTCTTCTTCATACAATGCAATATCTTCACCTTCACTTGACTATTAATAAAAAATTTTGTATTATAAAATTATTTTTCAAATTGTATATATCAAATTACATTATACATATATAAGAAAATATTTTTTAATTTACTATAGTTATATTAGTTTTTTCTGCTCTCAATCTGTATAAATTGTCTTAACATATATTTAACATATTATATAAAGATATAGAAATATTACTATTTCTTTCCGTTTTTGTGACTCATCAGAAGCGCTTGTCATTTTGATATTACAAAGGTCCGGATGCTTTCGTTTTAAATGAAATCGCAAATTGGTTGTGTTTCCGCTGGTTTTTATAAATTGTTGGCACACATTGCATTTTGCGCCTCCCAAACTTTTTATAAAGTGTTCCAAAAAGTACTCTTTGGCGGCACTAAATATGAAATATGATAATTAATAAAATAAAACAAAATAATACAGTATTATAATATGTTAAAAAGCAATTATTAAAATTATTCTAAAAAATCCAAGGAAAAAGTTGCATTGGAAGAAATTTAAGGAACAATGGAATTGTATGCATACTTTTTTATAGTTAAAAGAGATAGAAGAAATGTAAAGTAAGGATATATTCTGACGAAAATTAGGACTTCACTTCACACCAAACCAACCAATACTGAAAAGTAAAACGAACACATTAATCACATGCAAATAATTATTTTTTGATTAATAGCTATACACAAGCAAAGAACAGTTAAATGCAAAATAATAAAAATTGTTAGTTTCTAAAATTTGCTTCTTTTTAAGAAAAATTGTAAAAAGAGACGAAGACATGCTATTTGTCAGATAAAACTTACCCAAAAGTTAGAAGTGTTGAAACAACCGGCTCTTTGTCTTTGTCCATAGGAGGTTATAAAAATAAACGCAGTAATATTAATCGTTAATGTTAACTGTAGGCACTAGATGGCCTTAGGGCCACATCCACCATTTTGTCACTATAATGCCGACGCTCGAGGCGCATGCGCCATGTATATAAAATAAAAAATTGTCTTTGTAATAAAAGGCGTATCGAAAACCGATATAAGCAAATCTCGTATCGATATACCAAAATATCGGTACTTGAATTATCGATGTTTTATATCGATATTTTAATTCATTAATATCGATATTACAAATATCGAAACAATATCGCCCATCCCTATTTACGATCCCCGCACGAGAATCAGTCCATCAGTCTCGCGTGAGCCGCGCACCGTAATGGATGGGTGGGGTATACTTATCTGATCACGTGATTAGTTTTGCGTGAGCCATGCGTATAGCGGACGCGCATAAACGCGCAAATCTAATGGAAACGTAGATATTTCGATCGAATGATTCTTGAAAATTCTATTTTTATCTTCTGTTAAAAATTTATATGTTAGATTTTTATATATGAATCACATAATTAATAAATATATTTTTATGCATGTATTACAATAATAATTTTATACATGCATTGAAATTTTTGAAGTTTTATCAAAAAATAATATAACTTTGCTTCGCGCACTTAATTATATTCGATTAAACTAAACAAAATGAGAAAATATATATAAAGAGATACAATATATATATATATATATATATATATATATATGTGTATATATAGTTATCAAAGAATACAATAGAAATTCGGCGAATTAAAATTATGGTCATATGCATAGCATCAAGCAACTGTCATCACGAAGATTGACAATTTGACAGTTGCAAAATAAATAATAGAAATAATATCAATAATAATAATAATAAAAATAATAGAAATAATAAAGGCGCGCGAGAAGCGCACTTGTAATCTAGTAAAGTAAAATGTATATGTTGATTATATATATATATATATATATATATATATATATATATATATATATATATATACACATGATCGATGCAAGTAGCAACTCTATCTTGTGCCGCAAATTGTATTTATTGGAAAGATAATATCTTCTAAATTATATTAATATCTTAAACTTTTATACTTAACTTACACCTTTATAGTAGCGCACTAAATTATAAGATATAATAAATTACAAATATTATAAGATATAATAAATTTTTCGCTAATTATTTCTAGTCAGGAAGATAATTTTTATAAAATTGATTATATTTAAATAGTTTATTGCAATTATGAATAGAAGCAAAAAGAAATGAAATTTGACTTCTCGTTTTGACTCGCAACTAAAATAAAGAATTTTATATAATGGTTTCATAAAAAAACTATATATTTATTTTTCTTTTTTATATTATACATTATTTAATTAATAAAAAGAAAATAAATAATAATGTAAATATAATAAAAAAAATAATATAAGAAAAAAGTGAATTTGTCATAACTATTTCCATTTATTAAAAAGCTCTTGAGTAAAGTTATTTTATTGTTAGAAGACATCTTATAAGTATTTTAATTGTAATTTAATTTGATAATTATGTGTAATTAAAACATGTATAATGTATATATCAAAATTTAAAACTTATAATATCGTAAAACATGCAATAATAATGGTATAAAATATATACTTCATAAAGCGAGATTAATTCTGTTATTCTTTTATATGTGAGTATTATATATTTGTATATAAGTATTATATACATATATGCATATATTTATAAGTTAAAAAATATATTTTTATAGGTATATTTCTTTTTCTATGATAATTTATATGATATAACATAGCTTCTTCTGTTCAGGCCCGTTTGCTTAGAATTTTTTTTCAAGTATTGCCAGCTTTAACAATGAGCAATGTATGGCTGCGAGGAGTTTCTCATCGTTGCTTTTATTAGTTCGATTCTCTGCTATTAGAAAAAAATAATTTTAATACATATATTACAAGTTATGTAATTTTAACATGTATATATTACACGTATTAAAATTATAATGTAATGATTTGCATTATATAAATATATATAGATGTAAATTAAATATATAGAATGTTCTGGAATAATTGTCACACTTCTCATGATAGATTTAAATTACGAAGCCTAGCCGAAATGTACAAGTAAAGAACAGCACTGAATTATTGCGAAGATCGTAAAATGTTAGAGGATTTTTTACTCGTTCTATCTATACATGAGAGGTAATGCGATTATTACCGAAGACCCTATATAGATGTATAATATTAAAATAGTTATAAATATATTAAATATTCAAATCATCACGTTAAATAATAAAATGATTGAATTATAACATTATTAATGTGCATAATAAAGATTTTTCTAAGGATATTTATTGATGAAAGAATATAAAAAATAAGTAAAATATATATGTAATTACCTTGAGTTATGCACGAAGCAATTTTGCTCAACTCCCTCTCGCTGCTGACACTACCGAAATATTTTAAAATTTCATCCTTTTTCATCGCACCTTGTTCGTCGATCTAGATCCAATAACAAAATATATATATGTATACAGACATTTAATATGATTTATAATTAAAATTTATAATGTAATTTAATATTTATTTCTCAGAAACATTTAAAAAATGTAATAGTCTAAAGTCGCACAAATTAAAATGTATATGTATTTGTAGTAAAATGTTACGATTCTTGCAATTTTATTTTGAGAATCAATTCAGTTTTAATTATCATTTAATATTGAATTGATAATTCTTGATTAATTGAGAAATAATTAATGCATAAATATATACATACCAAGGAATTTTTTTCAAGCATACACTTGATCGCTAAGGGATCGACGCCATTTTCTTCTGCAAAACACAGTTATGAATGAAATTGTACAATTATAACATTAAAAATAATATTTTCGAACATGATATGACGAGGTTAAAAATTTTAAACACGCTTATTTCTGTTTGCTATGATTTTTTAATCTAACTTGGAATTATATTATAATTATAATATAATTTTTTTTCTAAGAATTTCTTAGACAGATATATTTAGATATTTTAATATAGCAATTCTTCTTTCTTCAAAATACGTATTATTGAGAAATAAAAGTTTTTAATAGCTCATTCTTATCTTTTTTTATCTCAATAGAAAAATATTTCTGTGATTAATCTTAATTTCCCTGGACAACGGAGGTTAAATGTTTTAAAGTATGTAAAATGTGATAAATTGCTTCGTCAAAAATAAAGTTTAATTTTAAAATGGATAATAATTTAAATATTTATATTTTTTATTTATTTAACATGAATATATATTGATGAAGTAATTATCATTCAACTATAATTCTTACCTTTCATATTTTAATAGAATGCATTGGTGAAAAAAATGTGTGCATTTTTTTATTAAATTCTATTTTAAATAAAACGCAATTTGAATTTAAATAAAAAATAAGTAAAAATATTTTTTAAAAATCATAATTAAAATTGTATAATTTTTCACTTTATTCTTGACAGATGCAATATATCTTTTGTGTTCACGTAGCTTATACTAATTTCATATGTATTTAACATTTACCGGGTAAATTTAATTCTGTGGTACATGTTTGGAGGTCTTTGTAAAATTTTGGTGTATCTTCGACGTCAGCAGTGTAGACCATACTCTAGAAAAAACATGCGAGGAAAAATTAACTTACAATTTCAGTATAAAAATAAAATTTAAAAAAATAGTTAAATTTAATTACGATATATTAATAAATTATATTAATAAAATATATTAATAAGTTTAATGTGTTACAAAATATTTTATTGATTGCTGCCAAAATCATCATTAGCAAATTAATTTTTTAATTGAATATATTATATTTTAAAATATACTAAGTATTACTTCAAAATATTAAATATTATAATTATAAATATTTAACGTTTTCTAAATGTTATATGAAATCAATGTTAATATAAGAAATAAATATTATGAATCGTTATTATTTAATGTTACAGATAATTTTTTATTACATATATATTATTACAATTTTATTTAATA